TCGTTCTTCTCTCCTTCCTTCTCTCTCTCTCTCTCTCTCTCTCTCTCTCTCTTCTTCGCTCTCTCGTCTCTCTCTCGTTCTTCTCTCCTTCCTTCTCTCTCTCTCTCTCTCTCTCTCTCTCTCTCTCTCTCTCTCTCGCTCTCATACCGCATTTATACTGGGGGTTATCCCGCTTCAGGTCCGGACCTGAAGCGGGATAAACCCCAGTATAAAAGGTCGAAAAACACTTAGCCCGAGCTAAAGTTATTCCACCCTAGGAGGTGGTTCAGGTTCGTTTCAGACCCGAGCTAACGTCAGTATAAAACGACCTATCCCGAGCTAAAGTTATCCCGCTTCAGAAGCGGGCTAAAGTCGTGCGCAGTATAAAAGCGGCAACACTTTCCATCAGTCTTTCTTTGCACTCTCTCGCCCATTCTGTCTATCGCTGACTTCGCATCTCTCCCTCACTCCCCCGCCGCGAGAAGTAACTGTTTTTTCAGAAAATACGAGTCAATTTATTAGTCTAGAGAATGTAGCGAGTTCTTTGTTGCGTTTTCGCTCACCCGTACCCACACGAGCGATCTAATTGCAAAGGAGCGCGTGGGTAAGTAAACACACACGAACTAGTCGGGGTCATGCTGCATCGGTGGGTGTATGCGACCGCTGTGCTGCGTCGGTAGGGGAGGTGTGGGCGCCGCGTGTATTATGGTATACCCGTGTTACGGCGTGTTGCTTATACCGTGCGATATTTTGTAGGCAGCCCGAAGCGCCATATGTCTGCTTTGAGTCACGAAAAGGCGCTCGGCCGGTAGAAAGGAGGAGTAGGGTGAAGAGTAGGAGGAGGAGGAGGAGGAGGAGGAGGAGGAGGAGAGGAGAGGAGGCGGTAGATGATAAGAAGAACGAGGAGGAAGATACCTATATGCAGGTGCTAGGGAATAAGGGGGCTTCCATGTACCTACGTGCATGCGTGGGTCTGTATAAGTTAGGGTTGTCGCATTGCGATCTGCTGGATACGTGTATAGTACGCGGTAGTTCGCCACGGCGTCTGCTCACGTTTCTGTAAACACGCTCTTCAGTCGCATAACTGGCCAGCGTAATGTGTTCGCCGCATGGCGAGTGTGCAGCTTCTTCACCCGACCACGCAAGCCTGACTAGTCATCCCGCTGTCTCCGCACACGCGCTCTCCGTCTATTTATCAGGGATACACTCTCGCGCTTTATAGCTCTGTCTATTTCCGTTCTATCCATCTATCTAACTATTTATCTATCTATCTATCTATCTATCTATCTATCTATCTATCTATCTATCTATCTATCTATCTATCTATCTATCTATCTATCTATCTATCTATCTATCTATCTATCTATCTATCTATCTATCTATCTATCTATCTATCTATCTATCTATCTATCTATCTATCTATCTATCTAGTTCTAATCTATCTATCTATCTATCTATTATCTATCTATCTACTCATGCTATCGTGAGTCTATCGTATCGCTATCATCTATATAGCTACTCTATCGCTGTCTATTCTATTCTATCTATCTATCTATCTATCTATCTATCTATCTATCTATCTATCTATCTATCTATCTATCTATCTATTAATCTATCTATCATTCTCTTTCTTTCTCTCTTATTCCCTCTCCCACCTCTCCTCTCTCTTTCTATCGTTTTATTATTTTCCGCTTTGCGTTTCTCCCTCCCGCTCTATTACTAACTTTAGTTGCCTTCTTTGGTCTTCGCTTAGCTGTCTCCTCTTCCCCCCTTCTCCCCATCTTTTCCCTTTTCGTTCTCCCGTTGTTCCACTTATTCCCCTCGCTCTTTCGCATCCTCTCCTCCCGCCTCTCCTCTCTTCGTCTCTATATTGCACCCCTTCATTTCTCTTTACGTATCGGCTCATATCACCTGCTTTGTCTATATCTCTTTTCTCGCCCACTATCTTTCTCTCTCTCTCTCTTTCTCTTCTCTCTCTCTTTCTATCTTTCTCGTCTTCTTTCTGCGCCCCACGATCTCTCGCTTACCCCGACAGAAATCACGCGTAATTCTGAGACATTATGATGTCTGCACGTCTCGCTTGCGCCAGTCGGTGAGATTTCAGACATAATAGAACGCTATATATATAAGAGAGCTTGACATCAAGTGATGGGCTGGGTCACGCAGCCATGACGGATGGGAAATCACAAGCATGTCATAACAACCATGATTTCAAGGAGAATACCCAAGAATTCTCAAGTACAGTACAGTCTCATGCACTTGTTGCTTTCAGATTCGACCATGCAGCTCTTCCTTCAGTATACGTACTTTAGACGTAATAACGAACGGCCAGTGCGGCAGTTCACAAACCGTTCGTGACGACGCTTTTTCTTCCGATCGAGCAATATTCAATAACATCGGGAATATTCCGCGTAACTCACAGGAGTGTTCCCCGTGCGCATGCGCACACCGCACTGCATGTTGATCGCTACGCTTACCTCATGTGACCCGTCAAACAAAGATGCGGATTGCGTGCGGGAATCTACATCAACAAAGGCGCATTGTCGGCGGTGCGGTGGATGGTGTGCGGTGGCGAGGGAGCGGCGGAAGGTTCGCGGTGGCGGGGGTGCTGTGGCGGATTGTTTGCCTCTACCCCCTAGCTTACAACACAACTCGCTAGTAACGATCACGTGCGGTGCGAGTTATTCTGCTTCGAAAAACAAGCGAACGCGCAAAAGCAGTCACGCGCGCCCGCGGCTCCGATGTTTTTCAAACAAATTTTGCCGGACTTTTTTCTCGCGGTTATCGCAAATGCTTGTGAAATAGGAAAAACAATAAACACCAGCAGCGGCGTCTGCTGCTGCGGGTTTCCTCACTGGCGGCATTCCAGCATGTCGCTGTGTTTTTACGCGGAAACCCCGTTTTTACACGAAAAACATCATTGCGAAGCTACCCAGCTTATTTAGTAGTGATAGCAACGCAAAAACATTGCGATTTGGTGAGGTAATAGTAGGTAATACGTAGCTAAGAATGCCACAGCTAGTCTACAATCACAGTCTACATTATATGAAATATACCGTTAATTAAAGTTAATTACTAATATTAGATGAAATCACAGCATAGTCTTATGCCGGGATTATATAAGCTATACTCAAATTATAAATACGAGAAGAAAACCTGCATGCCACACAATCAACCGATGCTGCTGCTATAGATATGATAATAGCAGTGTAACTAGTATGTTTATTGTATAGGTCCTGTAACAGCTCGCGCGATAGTTGTTTTCTGCAATGATGATTACCTGCCGGTGGTGGTATAGAGGGCGTGCATGTCGCCACGCAGCCATTGTCGCAGCAGAGCTCGCCGTCGTCGCAGTGTGTGTCATCCGGGCACTCTAGCGCGTCGCATGTCGTCTTGTTGGCGTAGGCGGCCGGCGGCGGGCACACCTCCGTGGGGAGGAAGTCATACTCAGCGTTTTGCTGTGCGAGAGAGAGAGAGAGAGAAAACATTCGAGTACAATTTCACGATCATTGCCAACGGCTAATTCCTTCCCAGCCAATCGCGTTAACATTTTCTACGCTAAAAGTGAGAGTGCATTATTTTACCGCGACGGATATGCGTGAGGCCTTTACATCTGTAGCGCGTGGCGATGCACAGATTTCATATAAAAACCACGTATTTTCTAGTCAGAAAATCTAAACGCTTCATGCGTAGCCGAGGACCTATATAGCTTTATTCCTCACATTAGGCTACATTGAAAATGATCTTAGAATGCACGAAACGCACATTATACGGTATTATTTTACCAACAAACTTTCCCATTTCACAGATTCGTGACACAATAGAACCATGCGCCGTTATTTGACATACGGCATTTACTTTTTTTTATTGACATTGGCTTTTACCACAAAACCCACAATTCTTTCACATATCCACCCCACTAATACGCCCGCTGTGCCACAATCTGTGTAATAACCCTGTCTTCACTCCAGTCTTTGTTCTGTGGAAGGTACGCGGTTGGTGGTGACCGCGTGATTGCGCTAGACGTCACTGTCACATTTACTATAATCGCATGAGCGCCTCTGTGCAAAGAGCGGAGTTGTTCGGTGTGTACTCGCACCTGTTTAGTTTTTAAACCGTGACGAGTAGAAGGAAACTGCGACGCGGTTCACAACGCGCTCGATCTGTCCTGCACCCTTTTTTTCGAGTGCTTTGTTTCACAGTCAGCGTTCTGTACCCTGACTCTGTGTTGTGTCAGCTGTACCCGGCACCGTGTATTTTGTATTTTGTATCCTGCACCCTGTATCACGCACCCTGTATCCTGCACCCTATCTTCTGTACGCTGTGTCCTGCACCCTGTATCTTTCACCGTGTATCCTGCACCCTGTATCCTTCACCGTGTATCCTGCACCCTGTATTGTGTACGCTGTATGCTGCACCCTGTATTCTGTACGCTGTGTTATACACCGTGTATCCTGCACCATGTATCCTGCACCCTGTGTCCGGCACCCTGTATTCTCGTAGGCGCTTCGTCATGTGATCGCTTCTACACACGTGAACACGCGCGTACGAGGCGATGCCTGACATAACTCTCTTATCGTAGTTTCATCCTTATGACGGACTGAGACTATCGGGTCTCCGAGAGTACTATAAGTGAGGGAACTGAGTAGACTAAAGCTACGACAAGCATTTGCCAGGGTCACAGCGAGTGGAATGAAACTAGATGCTAAACGCCTGCGCTCGCGGTACGCGCTGTAAAAAAGTAATTCTCGCATCCTAGACCTGGGGGTTGGTTGATTTTCACGCGTATACATGTGGTCTGTACGTAAACACGGGGGGTGAAGGCGGCGGAGGCAGTCACTCTGCTTGCTATGGGCGGACCACCGTTTGATCGTACTTAGTGAGTGAACGGAAGATGGATCGTGCCGTCTGCACACGCTGCTATTCCCGCCCCCTTAACCTGCGAGTTGGGGACGTACATGAAGGATATATGACAAGCATGAAACACTACTTTTATTCCGCGCACCGAGAACTCTTTAATACTAACGCCCGCCCTCGGGAAGTGGAGTGAATATAGTGAAACATGGGCTGTAAATGAGGAGCGACCGTGCCCTCAACCCGCGTCAGCGACAATTGTTGTTGTTGTTGTCGTCGTCGTCGTCGTCGTCGTCGTCGTTGTTGTTGTCGTCCTCGTCGTCGTCGTCGTCGTCGTTGTTGTTGTTGTTGGTTTTGTTGTTGAAGCCGTCGTCATTGTAAAACACATTACAAGAAAATAAAGACATGATACGTATAATTATGCATGCTAAATAAGTATTTTCAGATAAAAACTGGCTTAATTTTAAAGTATCTATTAAACACTACATGCCGCGTTTTCAGATATTGTATGTCACATTTAAAATGCATATTTATGTTTACAGTTATGTAATCACTTACTTGGGTAACTCTGTTCTGGTTCTACAACCCAGTCAATAACTGTAACAGAGAGAATGTCTATATGTACCAGCTTGCAGTCCCTTCATCTCCATTTAATGGTTGGAGAGAAAATGAAATAGGAGAATAACATGAGAGCGGGGGGAGACAGATAACGAGAGCTGTAGAGAAGACGGCGGGGACAGAGAGAGCGCGAGAGAGGGAGACAGAGAGAGACAGAGACACAGAGAGAGAGAGAGAGAGAGAGAGAGAGAGAGAGAGAGAGAGAGAGAGAGAGAGAGAGATTGGGTTAAACTATAGAGAGAGAGAGAGAGAGAGAGAGAGAGAGAGAGAGAGAGAGAGATTGGGTTAAAC